GTATCTATAGTAAATTTTCACTAGCAGTTTCAAACTGAATTGGACATGGGCTAGTACCGTACTTTTATTCTCATTCCCACCAACAAAGAAATTGTGGATTAATCTATACTAAGCATGCAGATCCTGTGACTCTCCGAATACTGGTAGACTCCAGGTCCCATCAGTCCCGGCCACCATGGCTAATTGTCAGGCATGGTGGCAGATGTAATCCCACATGATATTGAATTTTAAATTGTTGTAATCTGCTCTGGGTGAAGGGTGGGTAATAAACTGAAACAACAACATCTGGTTCCCCACCATTGATCTGAACATGACACTTTGTGTTACTCTTGAATGTCTAAACAAGTGGGGGCCATTATTCTACATCAATGAGCCTTTGATGGAGGAGAAATGGGGGGGGGGATACAAAGCAGAAGTTATTTAATATGAATATGTTTTTACATACCAAAGAACTGTTCGACTGAACACAGTAACATTTATTTTTAATAGTCATAGAACTTGGTCAACTAGTTTTTACAATGTGGGAGGATATGTGGAAGTGACAGAAACACCCTGACACCTGGTGGTGACAAGGTATGGTTGCAACAGTGTAATATTTTAAGATAGGAAATCTGGAAGGGCCTTTCTAATGGGCATTCATGATGCATTGTGCTCATGTTGCTATTGCAGCTGCCACACATAATTCTACTTTCACTACCTTTTGTGCCTAGAAATGTTTTGAGACTGCTCCATTTCCAACCTGTGCATATACCATAACTTCAAAACGGATGGTCATCTGTCATGGATGCTTTAGCAGAGATGCCTGCATTGCAGAGGTTTGGACTAGATGACCCTTGGGGTCCCTTCCAACTCTACAATTCTATGATTCCTTCTGAAATCCTGAAACTTTTATACAACAAATGCTGATTTATTTTTGTCCTGCTTTTGTTGCACTATAGCCACCCCCCAGACAGCAATAATGTGGAAGCATTGCAGAAAAAACAAAAGCACCACCAAAGCACTATTATTGCAAAATAAATCCTCCACCACTGCACTATTATTGTGTCAAGACATCATTACAGAAAACAGCCACAAAAATCCCAATCTGGAAAGACCCTTCATCTGCAACTTTGTATCAGTATACTGCAGAAAGTACTACCTGCTTTTCTAAAATAAGGTTGGTCCCTAAATTCATGCAATAGTGTATATTCAAATTAGTACAAGGTTACTATGGGTATAAAAACCCCTGGACAATATTTTTACTATTTTTAGTTTGAATTTATTTGCAGAATGTTTGAAATTTGATGAACATGGCGTTGCAACTGCAGGGCTTTTCTCGAAATATTGCTAAGTCAAAAAGCCACAAAAGGTGGCTTCAATCTGTGTGACACTTATTTGTTTAATAAACATCTATATTGCCTTTCAAGAATACAATTCTTCCCATAAAATGTGACAATAAAAGGCAGCAGGTAACTTTTAAAAACAGCTCAATAAAACAATCATATTATTAAAGCTAACGTTCTAGCATAAAAAATGCAGCATAATACACCAGCCACAATTAGTTTCTCTAAGGCAAAGTAATTACAATACAATAAAAGGTTTTAAGGTATTACAACTATAACTTTTTTTCTGTGTTTATACTTTCATGGATATGGTTCTCCAGAGACAGTGTTGGGGGGGGGGGAGCTCAGTACTGTAATGATCTTTTGCAACCCTATGAAAAATTGCAATACAGTCCTTTTAACTGGGTTCTGCCCAGATTCTAGAAATGCTGTTTGCTGCCCAGTTAGAATGTTATGTGGCCCAGATTCTTTTTATTTATTTAAATGGAATAATAAAATCTCTAGCAGTTCTGGAGAAATAAGGGGGAATATGTTGACTAGGAGGGCTGCCAGGTTTAAGGATGTGCTGTCCAAAGAGCCCTCCAGGAACCCCCATTCTGCCATGGCAGCTCCGCCACTGCTTCTGCCCCACTTTTTCCTTGAGCCAGTGGTGTCACAAGGGGGGGCAGGGGGGCGGTGCGCCCTGGGTGCCGTGTCTGGGGGGGTGACAAGGCACCCCGTGGGGTGCTCGCTCCGCGCCCCCCCGGGCGTGGTGGCACAAGCAGCCATCGTGCCGCTGCAGCCGCATGTAGAGGATCCTCTGTTCACGGCTGCAGCTGCGAGCAGAGGATCTTGACACCGTCCGTACAGCGTTCCAGCGGCGCCGGTGGCAAACTGCTACATACAACGCATGCATGGTGCCGCACGCATGCGCTGTATGTAGTGACGCTGTACACGCACTGTACATAGCGGTTTGCTGCCAGCGCTGCCCGAACACTGTACAGTTGGCAGTGGGATCCTTCCATCGCCACTACAGCCACAATCAGAGGATCTCACCACCACCACTGCAGCCACGAGCAGAGGATCCCGCCACCGTCCATACGGTGTTTGGGTGGCGTGTGCAGCGCCGGCAGAAAACTGCTATGTACAACGCATGCGCGGTGTCGCATGCATGCGCTGTACTTAGCAGCGCAACGCGTGCACAGCCGGCGGTTTCCGCCGCCCCGGGTGTCAGTTAGCCTTTGTTCGCCATTGCCTTGAGCCTGCCTGGCCTCACCCAGCTTTCTCCCCCTCCCCTGCCTACCTGGTCTCTCTGTGCCTGCCTGCCTGCCTGCCTGCTACCATAAGCTTAACGGGCAACAGTAGGGAAAGTTTCCTTTTAGATTCTCCCCCAGGCCACCTATTTATTGAACATTCATCCAGTTTTGCTTGTGGAATGCTTGTACAGATGTTAGATTATATCTCTGTGGGGTTTTTTTTTACTAAGCATTTGTTCTGGTTTATGGAGTGGTTCTACAATAATGAGCAATCGTCCTGATTTGCTTGCTAGGTGTTTATACCCCTTTTGTCAACTGACACTTTCCTAACTGCATAAAATGTGCTTCTTTTTAAAAAGTAGATTTGTTGCGCCAGGGCGCCAGAACAGTTTAATCCACTTTAATTGCACAAGCTTAAATTACCTGGTATGCACTGACAGTCACTCGGGATGAGCCCCTTTCCTCATGTTGTGCTGGATAACATGCTAAGTGAAGTGCCGGGTGGTGCTGGCTCAACCATGGCTTTGCTGAATCTGCTGTAGCATGACTGAACACTAATTTAAAAAGACCAGAAGAGATGCTCTGGTGACTGGTGTCAGCCTCAGCACACCCATACCGGGTGCTAATCCTGCACCTGTTTTCTGACATGCTGCTGCCCGTCACCATCTGCCACAGGCTCCAGCCTGTTTGGGGCTCCTGCAGGCTGCTGCCCTCCTTGTCAGCTGTGGCAAAGTTTGCTTTGTTTATTTGCTTTGCTCTTTAATTTCGATTTGGCCAGATTTAGCAAAGAGGTGTGGAACACTTTAATCTAGATTGGTTCTGTCTTCAAAATATGACTCTATGTGTTATTAGCTCAGTGGTGAGGAATATGTGTTCTGCATACTCATAGAAGCTATAATTTGAGGAGAAAGAAAGAGAAAGATTTTGTCTTACTTACTTCAGGCCTTGTACATATCAGGGAGGCATTCAAGCAAACATACAGATCTACACAACCAATTAGGGCATATGATAACTCATCAAACATCACACCTCTCTGACTGATTGCTAAGCAGCACTTCCACCCACCTCTCTCTTGGCTTTCAAGTATTGGACTTTAGCACTTAAAGAATTAACGTTCAAGCTACAAACTGAATGATCCCTCCTATACCAACATTTGGCACTCTCTCTCCCTCTTCCCCCCTGCTTGGCCCTTTCTCTGCACTCTCTTTTTCTTTCCCTTCTCTCCAAATAGCTAATCTATATGCACAATTGATTTTCCTTCAGTTATTAAATGGAACACTTAAGTTCTAAAATGAGGAGCCATGGGACTTCTTTGGAAGCCACAGCCATGACCTGAGAGCCTTTCATCTCATCCCATTTGTGTGGTGACTGATGACACACTGGTGAGAGAAATCTGTGCCTGATCAAATACACTATTTTCTTTCTAATCACATGCTACCTAGGACCTGAACCTCAGCACTGAGAGTAAGTTCTCTGGGACCAAGCCCTAGTTGGAGTGTAGCTCAAGGGCATCAAGGCAATCTTGACCTGAACCTGGAATACACCTGAGCACCAATTCTGGAGCCATTTATAGCTGTTTCCTCTTCAAGCACCTTTCTACACTGCGTCTCATCTCTGCTTCTAATAAGCAGTGTTGTGCATTGTGGAGGCTGATTTAGCATGAGGGTGGAAGAGTGTCGTAGCTGGGCGCTGATGGATAGGTGGCCCTCTCTTTTGGTGGAACATAGGACTTTGCAACTATGATTTTCAGCATTGTGCCATACAAAATAGGCCTGCCTCAAGGTTTAATTTGTACAAGCGCTTGTCACAACATCCATTCATTTCAATGGGATGCAATAGCTTGGATTCCAAGATAACTTAATTTTCCTCATGGAATTAAGTTTCTTGTCACATCCTCCCTGCTGAAGCTACGTGAAAAATCTCTGCAAAGTCAGGAAACCCACCCACCCAACCTGCCAGACAGGCTCTTTGGGGGGGGGGAGGAATGTAAAATTATCACTGAACTTTTTGTAGGATCCAAGCCAGAGTACCTAGCCCTTATTTTCATGTTGTTGCTGCTGCCCACAGATATAGACACATTGGATACATAGACTAATGGGTTATTTCCAGACTCATTTTGACATTGACTTCTATGCTGCAATCCTACCTAATCTTCAATTTGAAGATCTAAAGCAACTTCTGGTCTCTGCTGTGGCATACTGTTATTTTCAGTGCATTCCCATCTTTTAAATGCCTCCCTTTTATTTACTCGGCCTACCTGCTATAGTATAAATGAGCTTATGCATCATTTATTGTATTTGGAACAAGTCTGTCCAGTTTTCAAATGAATTTAGTTCCACCCAAGCTTCACAGAACCTCACCTTGAGTTTATAATTATATCTGGCATGTTCAAAGCAATGCAAATATCCTTCTATTGGAATCACATATGGGTAAAAGTACATACTTGTTGCTGCAAAAATGCTGGAGGTGACATTCTTCCAATGGTCTTTTTATCTCCTCGGAAGATCTATTAGACTGGCTCTCCAAGCTTTGCAGTATCTGTCGACATGAATTATGCTTTCAAACAATATTAATACAACTGTTAGCCTGGCATGGTATAGAAGTCAATAAAAATAATGTCAATGAAAAATCTAAATTAAATAAGAGAATCTGGCTGTGTCAACTAATTTTATTCACTGAAGTAAAGTATTCCTACTCAACTGGCTTGTGCTCAACAAGTAGATATTTAACACTCCCAATGTAGACAAGAAAGGGGGGGGTGGCTGTGGCAGGAAGGCAATTATTTTTATATGAATGATCACTATTTGCTCGAACTTACTGAAACCTTGCACAGAGTCTATTGGCCCAATTTAAGAATGGCCAAATAATAGAGAGTTCAGATTGGTCCTTTCCAATTCTACAATCCTATGACTTTATGATTGTGTGCAGAAGTTTAAGTTGAAAAACACTTTTCACCTGTATGCATCCAGCCCATCATCAAATGTACCCCCACTACAGATCACCCTCAGTGCATGTGGCTCTCAACACACACGGGGGCCCACCTTTGTGTTAAAGTTAGACAGGCTGTGGAGAGTTTGGAGTTGGCGCCAACACTAGCAGCAGGTCTAGCAGAGGCCACCCTGTATTTATGCTAAACTGCGGTTCTTCAGAATAGCCGCCATCTCGTTGGCAATGCGGAGCCCTTCATTCTCTTGGAATCTACCGCCCCCTGCAGGGAGAACTCGGCAAAAGCAAGAGACCCATCTGACGCGCGCCTTTGCGTGACGCCATTTGCCGAAGCCTCAAGAGAGGAGCCGTTGTCTCGTCGTCACTTCCGGTTTGCCAAGCAGCTGAAATTGGCGAGAGCGTCGTGCTTCCCTAAAACTTTACGTTCTTCCGCCCTCCCTTCCTCCCGCCGGCCAAACCTCTGCTTCCTCTCGTCGCAGAAAGACCAAAAGAGAAAGGCGGAGGGAGCAGAGGAGGCAAGACGGAGTGGGCGGTGCCTGAGCCTCGTGAGCGGAGCGGAGCACTTTGAAGGGAGGGGGGGCAGCAGGAGGAGGAGGAGGAGGAGGAGGCAGGCTCAGTGGGCGGAGCCGAGCCTGCGCAGTGTTGACTTGTGCGTGAGCGAGCTTCGCACTCAGGGGGTGGCCCGGCCAAGGAAAGAAACAAACTGCCAGGTAACGGCATCTTCCGTTGTCCCCTCCCCCATCAGGGGGGAGGGAGGAGGGGGCGGCGGCGACGTAGAAAGGAGTTGTCTGTTGGGGAAGCTTGTTTGTTGGGTGATACGATGAGGGAGCGGAGACTGGACGGGGCAGGAGAGGCTGCCGCCCCACCCTTGTGACCCCTTCTCTGCCTGAGGGGGGTGGGGGGGACATCATCTGGGGCAGAGGTTTATTCCTCCACACGCCTCGTAAACCTCTTCACACGTACACACGTGAGCCTGGGTGTATGTAGAGTGTTCTCAAGGCACCCGATAGCGCTTAGGGTAGGCTTGGAAAAGGGCTGTCTCCCCTCAGGTCCTAATTACGAGTTTCCGATAGGCATTTCCTTGGTCCCTGTGAGAAAGGGGTACTGGGCGAGGTGGGCCGCTAGCCTGATCCAGCAGGGCAAGGGGCATAGTTCTTCGTTGCGCTACAAGGTTTGAATGCGGAAGGTTGCGGGTCGAGTCCCCAGGTAGGACTCCTCTGTCTGGCACCCCCAGAGAAGTCTGTACAGTCAGCATGTACAGTACTGGACTAGGAGGACCAATATTCAGACTCTGTCTCTTTGTTCTGTAAATACATCAGGAACATGAAATCAGCCAGGCAGTAAGACCTTTAGGCAAACCAAGGTGTACAGAAGAAGCACAAGCCACTATTTTATCTGTCCCCACTGCAGAGGATGTTGAATTGGCCGTATCTGAGGCATTGTTTAGGGAAAGGATATCTGTAAGAAGCCGTCAGTTTCGTTTATATTAAAGAATTTGTATTCTGCTCTTCTGTGTTTCCCATGCATAATACTAAAATATAAAATAATCAAATGGTGATAAAAGCAACTGTTAAAATACTGTAAATCTAAAAACTTAGCAGGATTAATAAAAAGTTTGTGCCTGGTGCCAAAAGGACAGCAGTGTATTTGTCAGGTGAGCCTTGGAAAGTAATTATGTGACCCGGATGTCACCACTAAGAAGACACTCTCTCTGTTTGCTACTCACTATGGAGCATTTGAAATCCTTTATCAGAGAGGTTTCTTCTCAGTAACTGGCCCTAGTTAATTCAAAATACAGCTGCTAGGCTACTAACTGGTTTGTGAGTAGTTAAAGACAGTCCCACATACAATACATTACAGCAATCAAACATGTCACAAAGGATAATGTTTTAGAGCAGGTTTCCTCAACCTCGGCCCTCCAGATGTTTTTGGCCTACAACTCCCATGATCCCTAGCTAGCAGGACCAGTGGTCAAGGATCCTGGGAATTGTAGTCTCAAAATATCTGGAGGGCCGAGGTTGAGGAAGCCTGTTTTAGAGCTAAACTACAATTTAGTTAGCAAGTCACTGAGAGATGGCATTCACTTAAGATGTGAAATTGCAGTGAATATGTTTCATTAAAATCCACCTATTTGCCAGAGTTTTGGCGAATAGACATGTCTCACCAATTTCTAGGAATTGAATTATGGCATTAGAGAGTGTCTTAGGTAAATTGGTAGAGATATTAACACTAATGTGCTTAAACACAGAGCAAGGTTGAAACAATATGGCTTCTTCAAAGGGAAGTTATTTGCAAACTTTGATATCAAGAATATTAGTAACCATATAGATAAGGGTTATATAGTAAATTTCATATACCTGAACTTCCAAAAAGCTTTTGACAGAGTCTGTTACCAAAGGCTCATGAGTACGCTTCACTATCAGTAATTGAAAGTTTATTGATGTAACTTGCAAGCCACTCTCCACTGAAAACTGACTTGATTGTATTACACCTATAGGAATAACTTTCAAAACACCTCTCATTGTTAATACATATTCACTAGGGCCTGTGCCAGTGATTCAAGAAAAAAACACCCTATCATGATTTTAAAAGCAAAACTAATAAGAATCATCTTCAGAAAGAAGTCCCACAGAGTTCAGTGGAACTTATTCCCACGTAAGTGGGTATAGATTTGCAGCCTAAGGACGATGTAATTTATCAAAATGGACAGATTAAAAAAAACACTACAAGTAGGCAGTCCTTAAATAAATAATATGTGTGCCGTGTGATTGTTTCTCCTACTCTTGTTATTTGGTGGTTGTTTAGAAATGGAATTTGTAGGGAGGCAAATTGTTTCTGTCCTCCAATTGGCTCTCCCACCTTAATTGCCTTTCTGAAACTGCTGTTTCTCCCCAAAGGTGCCATTTGCTGTAGTACCACCTTTGAGGACAAATATCAGCATTGAAGGGCAGAATTTTCAGCAGCAAAGTGATGTAGAGGGTTAAAACCCATCCCTGCCTGTGCACTATGATCCTAATCTGGATCAAGTCCTTCACAGCTCCTACTTCTGAACAACAGCAAAAGAACCTAGGAGAAAAAAATTCTCACATTTATTAAGCATTTTTGTATTTGGGGACAGGTGTTTAATGTACTGGGGTACAAAATTTTGTCTAGCTTTCTTCAGCCAGCCATTCCTCTGTAGATTAAAAGAAGAAATGCCTTTGTTATCATGTGTTGTGGAAGTACACTAAAGGGATAATATGATTCATGTGCATCTAAAAGCTGACTATTTTTATATTTTGTAGCGGTTTTTCTGGGGGAATAATTTAGCCTACATGTGCTTCTGTACTTCTTGGAAGAATGACAGATGACAAAGATGTACTTAGAGATGTTTGGTTTGGGCGAATACCAACTTGTTTTACCCTATATCAGGACGAGATTACTGAAAGGGAAGCTGAACCTTACTATGTAAGTATTATAAACACATGCAGAACCATCATTTTGATGTTTAGTATTCGACTATACTTGAGGAACATACTGTGTTTCATCATCTTCTTGATGCTGGAAAAAATGATAGAAAGAAAGAGGAGATAATGCTTGTTAAACAAAGAACTGTTAAGGGAACTTCTTCCAGCTTTTCCATTACAGAAAATTCTTTGTGACTGGATGAATTTCCATGCTGTTATTAACTTTGTAAAATTATTTGGATGTTTTGGAAATCTTAACATTTGAAATTTACAGTTTTAGTGCCCATTAAAAAAACATTGCTTTTCCATGTGTTTGAGGAATTCTAGCCTAGATGCTGCTATGCCATAATCTGCTGCTGCTGCATTAGATTGATTCAACTTCTGTTCCCAAGAAATAGCAGCAGCCTGAAAAAACAAGGGTGAAATATTTCCCCTAAGACTTCCAAATACTCAGTAGGACAACAAAGTCCTAAGCATCCTGTTTAGAAGAAACTTCACTCTTTAAGCACAGTGTGCTTTATTTTCTTGAGGGTTAATTGTCCTTGCAAGTAGTTTTCTCCTGTTTGGGCACAGTCCCATTTGTCCATAGGAGGAATATGTTTATTATGCTAAAAGATCATTTCTCTATGAGACCCAAGATTCTCTCTGAAGCCTTATTTAAATGGAACTTGTGAAGAAGCTGTGTTTTGTGGAATATACCTTGACTACTTTTCAAACTGCAGTCCTTAGCACACTTACTTGAATAAAAGTCCCTTTGAACTTGGTAGAACATAACTTGCATATCAACAGCCCAGTACTATTTATGTTATAAGTACTGCTCATGTGACTGAAAAGCAAGTAATATTTTTAATGTAACTTTTACATGTGATTCTTTTCATAAAGATGTGCTGTTTACCTTTCCTTTCAGCTGCTTTTACCCAGAATAAGTTACCTGACACTGGTAACGGACAAAGTGAAAAAACATTTTCAGAAGGTTATGAGACAAGAGGATATTGTAGAAATATGGTTCGAATATGAAGGCACACCACTAAAATGGTAAGTTATTTAACTTTTTGAGTATTTTAGAGTGTTAGCATCTATATTTCCTGACTGCATATTGTTCTTGGGAAGCCTAAGCAAACTGAAGTTGCCCTATCAAAATCAAAGATTGTGGGCAACCTTTTTAAAAAAGATATTAATTCCTCAGTGACGTCAATATACCAAAAAACATTTTATTTTGCACAATTAGGATTAAAGTGCTTTCCCTCTTGCTTTCTCAGTGCATGCACAGAGTTCCAATTGTGAGCCATTCTGTCTCTGCAAGTACAAAAATGACGCTATATGTCTTAGTTTCAGATGTGTCCAACATGAAACATGGCCTCGGAGAATTGCATAAGCTTGAGAACTAGGGTTCTCCTTTCCATTAAATCAACTTGCAGTTTACAGGTGTAGAGCTGCTATGGCCTTGTGCAGACATAATTTGCTCACTGCTGAAATCAGGAGTGAACTATGAGGATTAAAAGCTCCATGCCACCTTTGGAGCTCACATTTCATGGACCTGCCTTAATTGGGCATAAGTGTTGGTATTAACAGTTGAATTGCATGCTGTGTTCCATCCTCACCCCAATTTTATTTTATATATATATATTTTAAAAAGCTTTATTGGTTTTTCTAATGGCACTCCACTTTACAGAAATCCCAGGGTATACAATGAACATACAGCATAAGAATACACAGCAGTTTACAATACTAAAGAGGCAACAGCTTCTGTCCGCTATATGTCTGCACAGCCTGGAAAGGACTGATAATGTATTTAAGTCTGTTTGTTAGAACTGTTGCAAACAACGTATAGTTGCAAGTAATGTTCAGTGGTACCTCAGAAGTCGAATAGAATCTGTTCCGGAAGTTCGTTCGACTTCCAAAATGTTCGGAAACCTAGGCTCGGCTTCTGATTGACTGCAGGAAGGTCCTGCAGTCAGTCGGAAGTTGTGTAAGCTGTGTTGGATATTCGGTTTCCAAAGAACATTTGGAAACTGGAACACTCACTTCTGGGTTTGCGGCATTCAGGAGCCAAAACGTTAGACTCGCAAGGCGTTCGGGATCCAAGGTACGACTGTATAGTCACTATTAACATAAAGGTAGGTCTAGACAAGTCCATCTTCAACAGGCCCTTATTAGGTTTCAATAATACAATACAATAATTAGGGTTAAGTTAAGTGTTGGTGGAGATGTTAACTGCAAAGTCAAGGGTTCCTGCATACCTAAGATTCAAAACTGTCTTAGTTACACAAATGCTTGCATAGTCATAAGCAGCTTGTTACATCCACCCCAATTTACATTATTCTCAAGTAAAGATCTGTTACCCACCTTAATTACATTTGAGGCCTTCATACAGTGACATCAATTATAAATAAGCAATACAATTTGTTGGCCCTAATTAGGATTTTTAAACTAGAAGATACTGATAATAGTTGGTGCACATAATGGGTTCCAATGTGCCCAGGCTTTTGAGTGAGGTCCGTTGTGTTACTTTCATGAATATGTGATTGTTAGTTAGTGATGTCTTCTAAAATCATGACCATAAGTTTAAACATCAGAATTCTGCTAACTAAAATACAGTACTTGAAAATAATCATTGATTGGTTTCTCTTTAAAATGGACATAGCCTTAACCTACAAGCGTGTTAATAGCTCTTGATAATTAGAATTCAAAACTTCCCCCAATAGTTCTATGATATTTGAATTCTTTTAAGTTTGATCATACATAGTATTTACAAAGCAATGACATAGCATTCAAGCTGATGTTCTTAAATTAATTGTCCCTAAATTTGTTTTTGTATAAAAAAAGTTGGAAAATTTTAAAATTAATTATGATAGTGTTTTTAGTTGTGTCACTTTTCGAGTTTTTGAATCCTCAAGCAGATGTTCTGCAACTGCACACCACATGCATATTAGAGATGCCTATTTTTATTTTTGCATTAGGAACTTCCATGGTTGAGGAAATCAAGATTAAACATCTTCCATAAAAACTGTTATTCTCAGCAACTCATGAAGAGTTTGTGGTTGCTTGACACCCTCTTTTCCTTTTGCCTCAGGGAGAAAGTTTATTACATTTTTCTTCCTCTTGGCTCAAATTCTAGTTTAGCATATCTGGCTCATAAAGCACATTCTTTAAAAGCTAAAAGACCCTCTTCAGTGTTCCATTTTACATTTAATATCATGAAGTGCCTGCAAACTTACAACAATGATATGGCTTATTTATCTTTATCCTTCCTTCCCCATGTCTCAGCCACCTACATATAGCTTGAAGGCTAAAATTAAAAACCGATGGCTCAATGATCCTGTAATAGTTTTTTTTATATGTCTTGTACAAAATAAAAACCATTTAACCATTATCTCCAAAGCCCAGTTTTCAAAATAAAACACATGGTCAGTGAGGGCCATTTAGTATCTGAGAGGGTGCGGAAAGGAGGAGCAGGTTTGGCTTTGTTTGCAACAGTGTTCCTAGGCTGTGCCATTTATTCCTATGGGTAATGAACCACCCGCATCAAAGAAGTGTTTCAGTTTAAAGCATTATAGATTTAAACAGGGAAAACAGGTAGAGAAAAATGGGACTCCATGTCACCATCTGGTGGCACAATGTTATATCACACATACAACACATATAAATCACCTTTTCTTTACCAGTCTGAGTCCCTAGATAAAACATATGAAATGGAGAGTGATATTCTTTCTCATTAGCTCTAAAATTAATGGTGTGATTATAGGTCTTAAGGGCTTATCTGCAATATTTAAAGCCAGGAATGTTGTTAATTGTGTTAATTTCAGTATCCTGAAGACATGGGGACTAAAATCCCAGTGTTTAAAAACCACAAAGGTCTTGTAACATGTTTTGAAAGACTAACATATATTGTGGCATTTTTACTTTAAGCTGTACAAAATCAGTTATTCTTTGAGAAGCTGAAACAGGGTTTGCTTGGAGGTTGTTTTGCTAACTTCGATTAATGCTGCTACTTTTCTGGAATTTGAAAATATGTACAGTGAGATCCTCTAATGTATGCATGCCCACTCAAGGTAATTCCTATTGAATTCAGTGTGGCTTACAGATAATCAGATATAGGATTTCAGCCAAAGTGACATGCTACTTCCCAGGCTCTGAAAAGAGGGCTCTAATAGATTTTTTTTTTTAACACTGTGATGAAAGAGCAACTAGTAGTAATCATGGGTATTACAAATTTCTGTATCAAGTGGCCTCAGCAGTTTACTTAAAAGTTACTGCATAATGCTTACCTAACCAGCAGATGGTGCTAAGTAACTACATATTGCAGCTTCACACATATCTTGGCTTGTCCTGTCCTTCCATTCATAGATAATAAAACAAGTAAAAACTATGAACTGTTTTGCTAGCCTGCAGTCATTAAAGGGAACTTGTGCAGTAAAATTAATATTTACACCCAGCTTTGGAATCAAATTCTAACCGGCATTTTGTTGCAGTTAACTGTCAGCCACCACTTTAGACATTTACTTTAACCCCTTGTAACTGGCTTGTGTGGGAGAATCATGGTTCTATTTATGGCCTATGTGTGGAGTCCGACAGTGTTTGGAAAGATTATATGAAGTTCGTACTCTTGTAATAGTCTCAAAATCCTCTGCAATCTCTATGAAACATCTGACAAAACACATGCTTACTGACAGAGTTATATTATTGCAAAGTTGCAAGTGAGTGTGAAATTTTCTCACCACTATCATATAAATATTATATTGTCTTATAATTTTGTACAACTATTTACCCTTTCTTAGCAGGGGGCATTTACTCATCATGGGCTGCTCAGACTTATGTTGTAACATTTGCTGAGATACTTGTAAGCAGAATAAAAGTTAGATGATTGAAGAGGTGAAAAAGGACTGTTACTATAGAAAGCATTTCAAATAGTATGTGGTTCATACTTTCAGAGAGCCCCTGTCCCCACTTTGAAACTACTTACTACTTTCAGTTTCTGTCAGCAACAGCCTTGAAATTTGACAAGAGCTACCAAACTGTCAGAACATGAGTTTAGACATGTGTTGGGATTTTTATCTGACCAGTTTCTGAATATATTAAGGAAAAATAAATCATCTGAAAAGTGGGCCTTTTCAGAAGAGTGGCCATGTTAATGTGATGCAGCAGAAGTAACCTGAGAAATAGGTCAGGTTCAGACAGCACAGTCTTACTGCATAAATGTATGCAGAATGAGAATGGTAAAACTTTCACAACAATAATCAGTGATAGCACATCACCTTGCTATTAACTTGGATTAAGAACGCTGCAAACCCAGAAGTAGGTGTTTTGGTTTGTGAACTTTGTCTTGGAAGCAGAACATGTTTCGCTTCCTGTTGAGTGTGTTCCATTTGTAAATTGAGTCCCCCGCTGCTATGGGAAAGCACACCTTGGTTTAAGAATGCTTTGGTTTAAGAATGGACTTCTGGAACGGATTAAGTTCGTAAACCAAGGTACCACTGTAGTAGGAGAAAGCCATTGTCTCTGTTAATAATTGAATTTCTTGATAAGTTGTAATTCAGCAGTTTCACACTTGAGTTTTCTTTAAAGTTCCTTTGTTAAAGGTTGGCACCTTAAGGTCAATAACGACATTCTGCTAAACTGAAATGTTCTACTAGTTTCTGGTTAATCCCTTTGCTGATGTCAGGATGCTGGAAGATAGCACATATACTGGAAGATGAATGGGTGAATGACACCTTGGTGTTGTGGCTGATATTATTAGGTCTTGAAATACTGTTGTTTGAGTGGATATGGGAAGAGATTCAGCATCTGGGTTTGTTACAGAGTATGGTCTGTCAGGGTTTCCTGGAGTTCCTTGTGAAGAGCTGTTTAGGGTAGGGGCTGTCTGTAAGAAAGTACTGGTCTACCATTCAAGGCTTTGAGAAGAAAGCATTATTGCCCAGCATGAGCTATAGTTCTTTGGTACATTGGAGTGATTTCAACTAGGAGCTGGAAGTGGTGACAAGTGGTTTGTCAGTTTCTCTTCTACATCTGCCCTATAGTAGAAGATTCCTGGATGCTGGTCTAGTCCTGATCTGTGTATTCATTTCTTTGGGTGTTCAGTTCTTTGAGTGTCGATACTGTAGCCTAAAAATCCTTAAGCAGGTCAGTATAGAAACAGCAGAATCACAGGGACCTGGCTATAAGTAGTGGATTTTGTAATGTGTTCTATCTGAAAGCAAGATGCATGTAGATATGTGTTGATATGGTGGTGCTTACATTTCACCATGTAGTGCACAGTAGTGTCCAGAAAGTGAATGTACTGTATGGATTGTTCTAGGCTCAGGTGAAGGTGTGGTGAAAGTTGTTGATCTGAAGACTGACTAATTTAGAAAGAACCCTGTTTCAACAAGGCCTTAAAATTAGAGGGATTATTAATTCGTGTACGTAGAGGATTCTAGCTTTTGCTAAAAATGTATGTGTGTTTGTCTTCTATAAATCTGCATTTATAAATCCAGCATTACCACCTGCATAAGTGAAAACTTGTAAGGGGACTTGCTGGGATTTGAGTGGTAGCAATATTTTCAGAAGATTAGGAGTAAGGAAATAAAGAGTACAAATGAGAAGAACTCTAGGTAGTGGCTTTGATCAGCCTATTGCTTATCTATATTTCTCTTACATTAGCTCATGGAAGACTGAGTCCAATAAGACAGAAACAACCAAATTAGTACTGGTTGTGTTTTACCAAAAATCAGCAGAGCAGATTTGTGGAGTGATTTCTGACTAAAGGATGCTGAAAAGCTAATGGTGGGTCTGTTTCCACCATGGCTGGAGTAGTAATACTCTGTTTTCCTATCTATTCATAGCTGATTCGGCATTACAGCACTCATCTGTATCTGGTGGCAATTTAATAGTGAAATATAAATATACCGTATTTTTGCACCATAACACTCACTTTTTTCCTCCTAGAAAGTAAGGGAAATGTCTGTGCGTGTTATGGAGCATTCGCCTGCGGGTGGCCGGGGGATCTGCTGCAGTCGTGAGCAGAGGATCCATGGTTCCCCTTCCTTCCCTCCTCCGTGGTTACAAAGCATGGATCCACTGGATCCTCAGGATTTTTGCATTGGGCTACTCCAAACTCACTGTCAGATCACATGTCTGTGGCCACAGCATGAAACCACAAAAATCATATATCCACTATTTCGTTTAGAATATTTTTTTTTCTTGTTTTCCTCCTCTAAAAACTATGTGCGTGTTATGGTCTGGTGCGTGTTATAGAGCGAAAAATACGGTATTCTACTTACCTGATTATAATAGCTGAGAGAGCTTGATGCTCCTGCTTCAAAAGTCCTGAAGTTTTATTGAGTAGTAAAATATGTTAATCTAGCTGCTCACTACAGTGGAAACCATTTCTATAAAATACATACATTGGCATTGCTACAGAAATGGAAAAAAATGCTCACACAACCCAAGTAGCATAAGGGGACTTGCAAGATGGCTCAGCCAGTGGTGCAGCCATAACTGCTACTTAGACACAGGCCCCACTGTGGTATATAGACAGTTCTCTGCTACGGGGGAGTTGTTATGACATAGGCTAGATGGAACTACATTAGAGGCTGCCATGGTTTTTTTCTCTCCCCCCCAGTCCAGCGAGATTTCTTTTCACTGGCAAAGGGTGTGATCCTTATTGTGATGGAAACTAGCTGCGTTTGTCTAAAACTTCAATGGAGAACTGGTTATTTCTGAGGTGGAGGAGCATCCATGTGCACACACTTGCATATATAATTCCCTTTGTGAAATGGAGTCATGTGGACACCTTCAAATCCTCTCTTATCTCACATCCCCCTTTTATCTTGCTGAATAGATGCTGTTAGTAAGTTTAAATGTCTGTTATTCTAACAGATTGTATTAGGAAAGCAGGGGTGATCATTCAGTGATTCCAAAGTATTTAATTTATGTTTCCTGTAAGCATGATGTCATAATTAACTCTGATTGCTTTGTTCCTGTGTCATTCCCGCGTCAGCTAGCCAATAGGGAGTGGTTTATGCTCAAGGCTGGTTGGTCTTTCATCCCAGTTAAAACAGGTATTTGTCTATTAAGAGGATCTGAAATGGTATTTAGATGATGTAGAGTTCTTTGCATGCCAGAGATACAAGCACAACTTCTTTTGCAGTGCTAGAATACTTAAGAAGTTATAGGCTGATGTTTCCCTTCTTTGTTCTTGGTAAGGCAAGATATGCCTGATGACTTTTTTATTATTATGAAAGATGGAATGAATTTAGGACAAGGATCTTAGTGCTCACCTGGCTGGAACCAGATGTGTAAGAAGTTTCATGTTTATTGTCTTAGTTATGAACATTTTTCCTTCCTGGTTTCTGAGTTTTGTACCAGGTAAACTTCTTATAAGTTTGTGCCTGGGGATTAATTTCCATTCACCCGACATATGCCACTGCTTGGACCATACAGGTTAGAATCATTCCTAAATATGAAGGTTCATTAACTAACAGTTTTTGACATAGTATAACAAGGAGTTCTTGACTCCTTAAGAAAAAGTTCTTTAAAGTTTTTCTGTGACCCATTTAATGATGGTGTATGGTGGGGGTAGCCTCCAAGTGTTGTTTTTCTAAAGGTCTGAACAGTTGCTAGCTGCTACCCCTCTACCTACATTCAGCTGAAGCCTCTTTTAAGCAGCTGCCTGCTCCACATGCCTGCAGGAAGCATAGCAGCAACAGGAGGATTACCATGTTTCTTCTCCCATTGTCCCATTTTCAAAAAGTTCTTCCAGCAGTTGCCTATTCCACATGACTGGTAGGCAGCAAAACAAGTAACAGGCAATTCTTGCTATTATTCCCCAGCCAACATTTTTTTAAAAAGTCACTCAAGTATCTGCCTGTTCCAAATTGCTCAGTCAGCAAAAGAAACAAGCAGAGCAGGAAATGGGTGGATTCGCATCTTCCCCTAATTGCATTTCCATACTAGAAAAGACTGGACCTGTTGAATTTCTGCCTGTCATACAGCTGTTAAAGGCACAAGAGCCTTCAGTGCTACCCCTAACCCAAAGCCTAGGTTGCCATCCTGTACCCAGCTGTAGGAGTAACCCTGTTAAATACGGTACATACAGTCTTCTGAGTAGGCTTGTATGAGTGTCTGGTCTTTAGCACCTGCTCCGCAGGAGATATGTCTAAGCCTCTTTGCAAAGCCTTCACATTTGCTTTTTTTGGAGAGGGGAGGGGAATCTTTAACACCCACCCACACTTATTGTGTCATAGTATTTGCAGAAAATAGCTACCTGATTTCAGAAGACCCCACCATAGGAAAAAATGCATCCTGGTTGTTAGAGGGATAGGAAGGGCAAGCTACAGAGATTAAGACAGAAGCAGGTAAACTGCACTAAAAGGAGAGGGAAAACAGCAGCTCTTTAGGACTGCAGGGATTCCTACTACCTAGTGACCAAAAAAATTCACTTATCAGTCACAGCTCTTGACCTCACTAGTTTGCTGAAAACACTTTACAGTGTGGGAGCAGCCAGGCTGGCTCATTTCACAGAAATTGTTTAGAAGGGTGCATGTATGTTTTGCCAAGGTGTTATTCCTAGAAGGGCTTAAAGACTTACCTTAAAAAAATAAAATGTCGTCTCAGAGTCTTGAGCTGCTGAGCTATCCAGTGAAGGCCTTCATGTGCGTTGGGTTGGCAAACACCCGCTCCAAAGAAAGTTATGCCACTCTATCTTTTGCACCACGATTGTATGTAGGACTGATTCACAGCATATTTTTTATTCTGCATCAAATTTTCAGGTAATGCTCTATTCACTTAAGAGTGCTTTTTGTCAGATAGACAGATTATAAAATTATATAACACATAATCAGCATGTATTTTTTCTTAAACTTTGCTATAGTACTATTGCTATTGTCATGCACAATGGCTTCAACAAAGTTCTGTGATGAATGTAAAGAGGTTTGCTGAGAAATGGCTTTTGTATTCAACAGGCTTCTTTTGAAGGTTTGGGGAAAGTGCTTGCTTTTTAATTTTTTATAGAAACAATCTTTTTTAATACAAATTTTCAAGTATGAAATGGTCATTTATTTGGTTTTAATGTTTTCTTTTGTTACTAGGCATTATCCTATTGGTTTGCTTTTTGACCTTCATGCTTCAAATACAGCCCTTCCATGGAACATAACAGTACATTTTAAGGTATGTTTATGGTGCATCTTTTGAGTTGTTCAACACTTCAAAAGCAGAGGCAGCTCATGTAATCATAATTACTTATATGCTTGAGTGAAGGGGAAAGGGAAAGCACTAGCAGACAGCAAGTGAGGATTGCTTTTTTTGCACCTGCTTTCTGTCGCTGACATTTGTCTTTTAGGTGATTGCATTCTTACTCTGCCAATTTTTACTGTATTTTAATCCTGCCTGTTTGAGGGTTTGTTTTATGCTGCTTACAGGAACTCTGGATCCAACCCCATGAATTTAGTTTAGCTTCACTGAAATGCAGAATGGGTTCTAATCCGGAAGCCTTTCAAGCAGCCTCTCACATGCTGACCATTGTGTCTGCATAGAGCAAGCAAGCCAGTGCCATGATCCACAGTAGCTCAATTTGGCTTTCTGGCGGCGGTGGCGGGGAGGGACCTATATGTAGTAGAACACTTGACTTTTATTTCTTTATAAATGCCTTCCGTATAAGATACCAAGTAGGTCTCTGAGTACAGTTTCTGAGCTATGTGGAGAATTTCTACTAAAGGCTAAAACCAAAATAATTCTAATTCTACTGATTCAAAAGCTAGTCTATGTCTGCCTGCCTTGTCTGAGGAAGGTGAAAGGAGAACTATATTGACATCTGCTTGATGTTATTACACAGGGTGCAGAATGGAGAAGAGAAATCTAGTAAAGCTATTGCTTTCCTTTAATTATACAGTGGTACCTTGGGTTACATATGCTTCAGGTTACATATGCTTCAGGTTACAGACTCCGCTAACCCAGAAATAGAGCTTCAGGTTAAGAACTTTGCTTCAGGATGAGAACAGAAATTGTGCTCCGGCGGCGTGGCAGCAGCAGGAGGCCCCATTAGCTAAAGTGGTGCTTCAGGTTAAGAACAGTTTCAGGTTAAGAACGGACCTCCGGAACGAATTAAGTACTTAACCTGAGGTACAACTGTATTAGGAGTTGGAGCATCATACATTTCCTAGTGCAAAGCAGCTTTAGTTGCACAGTTAAAGTTCTCTTAAACCCTTGGGAATTATTCACCATGGTTAGTCTTGGTTGTTTCTCTAAAATAAAAGTTGAATTGATAAACTGCTCGCCTTTGGATGATCATAATTTTGTACTTCTTTTAGAACTTTCCAGAAAAAGATCTTTTACACTGTCCCTCAAAGGATGCAATTGAAGCCCACTTCATGGCTTGTATAAAAGAAGCAGATGCCTTGAAACATAAGAGTCAAGTTATCAATGAGATGCAAAAAAAGGATCATAAGCAACTTTGGATGGGATTACAGAATGGTAAGAAGCAATTTCGAAGTGAAGCAATTAAGTCTTTGGCTCAGCTAGCATACAACTCACTATGATTTGTTGTTGTATGCTTGAGCTGAAATAATGTGGTATAGAGAAATATTTCTCTTAACATTTAGTTTCATTTTCACAGAATCTTGATTTGTTAGAAACCAGGGATCATTGTTGTTATCACAAACTGATTAGTTAAAACAGGCCACTTGAATAAGTCATGGTTTGAATTTGGCTTGCTCTAAAGCAGACAGAGTTGTTTGCCAAGCCTGAGTCTGTAAAAGTGCACCTAAAGAGGAAAGGTCCTTTTCCCAATTGCATGGGAAAAGAGGAGAGGAGGATGTAGCATGAGAGCCCAAAGGTTTTCTGAAACTCATTCCAGCTCATGCTTTGTCACTGTGTGCAAGTGCAGTATTTATTTTAGCACACTCAGTTCAATGATTTTTTTAAAATGATAGCTTGTCATTTTTTCTTTTTTGAGTGGCTAATGATAAATGCTTATCTTAAGATAATTTTAGCTGAATGTGAATCTGATACTTAAAATGTCAAGTGTTTAAAAAATGAGGTGTGGATATAGCTAGTGTTATACAACTGAGAAGCTTTACCTTTTGGATCTGCTTAGAGTTTAGTTGATGGTTGCATGACTAAATGATATTTTCTAGCCTTTTTGTTTTAAGTACAGTGGTACCTTGGGTTACAGACGCTTCAGGTTACAGACTCCGCTAACCCAGAAATAGTACCTTGGGTTAAGAACTTTGCTTAAGGATCAGAACAGAAATCACACAGTGGTGGCGCGGCAGCAGCAGGAGGCCCCATTAGCTAAAGTGGTGCTTCAGGTTAAGAACAGTTTCAGGTTAAGAACAGACTTCCAGAATGAATTAAGTTCTTAACCCGAGGTACCACTGTATTAGTGCTGTATGTTATTTAAATACTATCTAACTTTTTCATGTTATTGGATGTTGACACAGTTTCTCTTTGTTCAAGTGTTCAGATGTGTGATTTATTTCATGGAGGGTGGTAAAAGAAAATCGTAAACTTTCCATCACAGCAGTAGCCACACATGGCAATCTAGATGTGAGAAGTTAACGTCCCTCATTTGATCCTGTTGATTAGGAACTCAGACAGGCAGTCTTGAGGAAGGGTTTTTGGAGTACCTAATAATAGCTTTGCAGAAGACTAAAAAAATCACATAGGATTGGGCTTTATCATGGAAAATATTCAAAGCATTTAAAGGCAGAAAAATAGAAATGGGAACTTTTAAAGTTTTGTTTTTGTTCTTTAATCAGTTTATCAAAGATTCTCTTCACTTACACTTCTACTTCAAATCTTAAGATTATTTTGGCTTGTTTGGGACAACACTGTGGTTATTCCAATATAAGAGGTTGCTTAGAAATGTTGGTTGTACAGGTTTCACTGTGTGTCATTGGAAACTGCACCTGTGGAACCCAACAGATAATGTTTTGAAAGCTTTCAAATACTAATTTTATATTTCAGGCCTTAGTAAAAGAGAAATAAGAAAAACTTATGAAACCAAGAGAACTTTTTAAAATACATGCTGTATCTTTCAGTATTGCTTTCATTATGGCTTTCATTATTGATGGGATGATTTTAAACCTCTTTCTGAAACAAAATTCATGACCACAAAAAGAAAAGAGAGTAGCAGTTGTGATAACTGCCTCATGATACATCTGCAAGTTGCTTTTTCTATGAAACATGCATTTGTCGTCCTGCCCATAACAACTTTGGGTTTAACTTATAGTTGATTTAATAGTTTGATTCAATAAAGCTTCTGCAAGTATCATTCAATACAGTGCCAAATGCTACTGTTCAAATGGGGTGGGGTGGGATGTCAGAGCACCATGTGGGCTGACAGTTTGAATCCAGGACTGTGGCCATGGCAGAAGCAGGACCCTCTTGAAGTGTAATGCTGGAAGCCTCTCCAATGAAGGCTCAGGTTGTATATATGTGTAAATAATTCGTTTATCCTAAAGGCCCCACAATCTCCAGTGTGCCTCATTTCCAAAGGAAACATAAGCCCTGTATAAGCCCCTGGACCTTGTACCGCTTGAGATTGAGGTAGCATGTAACATTAGAATCACAGAATCACAGATTTATAGAGTTGGAAGGGAGCACAGGGGTCAACTAGTCCAACTCCCTGCAATTCTGAAATCTTTCACCCAACATGGGACCTGAACCCACAACCCTGAGATTAAGAGTCTCATGCTCTACCGATTGAGCTATCCCTCAGGGCTCAGTTCAGCTTGTAAATGAAGAAGCATATAAGAAAAACACGTCCAGGAATCGCTCAAGAGAAATGGCAATTTTGGCTGAAGCGGCAAAATGTCCAGGAAAACACAGACATATGACAAGTAGGGGGATTTTTATTTTTTAATCACTTTTGGGAGAATGGCAACCCTAGTGTTTGGATACTTCCGTTTTATTTCTTTTCTGTATTTCTGTAGGCAACTTGCAACAGTAAAAAATAAATAGAAATTTTCTTATGCCCTATTCTATAAAAACATTGCATAAGTATATTGTTTTCATTTTTTTCCAGACAAATTTGATCAATTTTGGGCTATAAACCGAAAACTCATGGAGTACCCTCCAGAAGATAGTGGATTTCGCTACATCCCATTTAGAATATATCAGGTAAAGGATAATTTTTTAAAAAATCATTTTTCACATACATGTTGCATAGTCTTTTCTGTTTTAGAAAAGCTGACCAGTTCTTATATTTGTTGAGACCTTTTGCTGTGGGAAGAAGGAGGAGGCAAACATGAATAAATGGTATTAAACAGGGCATAACTTTTGTTTAAGGATCTGCCATGCATGCTTTTCTATTCAGACCATTTGAAGGTGTGGGTAACTCTAACCCCTACCTTTGAGCTGTTCAGGCAGACTGACATAGATGCCAGTTGCGATATGCCCCTGGTACCCAGGCTTAAGCCTGGGTTATATCTGGTCAGAGGTAGCCCATTCCCATTGGAGGGAAAGGCAGGTGTAAAGTGGCTACTCCATTGCCCCAGTTAGCTGTTACAGCTGCTGCATCCTGCTATCACCATTGCCTCACCTGATGAGGTGCCATGTCAGCACTCTTCTCTTGTGCAGCTAGCCTGCCTGATCTGTCTGAGTAGACATCTGGCTTTTATGTGCCTTGTTCCACATCTCAGTCACACAAGACTCTGGGCATACATAGCCCTGTGTTATACCTGTTGCTTTCTTGCAACTCAGCAAACCTCCTGTTTCGGAAAGTTATAGAACAGTAGCATGAATAGTGTTTGTTTGGGGAATGCAATGTAATAAGCTTAATAACAATAACAATCTAATATTGACCTCTCCTCTCTCCCCAAATTAATCCAGCTTCTGCAGCACTATTAAGTTTAATAGGGCTCCTGATCCTCTGAAGAGACTTTTTTTTCAGAGTGGCGGCAAGTGATCACAGGAGGAGGAGGGGTCAGGAAACTTTCCTTCTGTGGGCTTCTTTAAGTTAACTTGTCTTACAATCCAGACCATAGTCTCCAGCAATCACAGTTTTAAAAGCTGGATTCCATCTACAGTCATTAAGTACCCTGGGTCCCTACTTTACCATGTCTGTTCTAAGTTTTCTAAGTTTTGTCTGTGTGATCACTCTGCTATCATTGGTTCTACCAGCATATGATACCAAAGAAGCGAATGGCTGTAGCTGCCTAATGGAATTGTACTTTAACCAACTTAATTTTTCCGATGAGGATTAATCCTTTTCCATTCAAGAAGGAAGAAAACTCAGAACTATGTTCATACACCTCATTTTAGCTGCCTGCATAAGCTTTGCTATGCCATGCCAAGGCAGTTGCAGTTTTCTATAAACACTGCAACCATTGTAATTTGCGTTAGTTATTGAAGGAATACAAGAAATTTGAACAAACTGCAAGTAAAATTAAGGTTTTTTGGGTGGCATCTTGAAGAAGGTGGGCAAGAGATTCGTAAGCAGACTGTGTGGGATACTCAGTCTAAACATTTGCCATAATTTATCCACAATTCTTGAAATAATGCTGCTCTTAATCATGTAGGAGATCAGAAAGTTACATTTACTCCTTACAGCATATCCTGCCAAATGAAAGGATATGAGGAAGACATGGGTTGTTGCCCACATATGATTAGGAAAATTGTCCTTAAACTATTTGTGACCAAAATCTTTTCAGCATTATATTGTCTAGACAAAATTGTAATAAACATTACTGTATAAAAATAAATAAGTCCTAACTTCATTCCAGATGTGTGTGTAATTCTAATGGCTGCCCTTAATTCAACCACAGTCTTTGAGACATTCATATTATTTAGGTTAAGTATCACTGACATTACTTTGATACTGTTGTAGACATAATGATAACATTTTAGGAAATAACAGACCATGACAACTAAAGGTTTCCGCTATGGGTGTGCTACGTGTATATTTGTTTCAAATTCCTTAAGAACTATATAATTATTAGCTTTCAGCAAATCGTACTTTAAAGTGTGTGTGTTGTATGCAATTTAGTATTTGCAGATGACATGAAATCTGATTATTTCCAATTGTTGGCAAATATTATAGCTGAAATAGTTGAAAATATAAGCACATTGTTAAGCTGAAGGGTTCAGTGCCACAAGATTTGTCAATAGCCACCAATTTAGTGATGTTAAAAGGGGGTTGGACAAATTTATAGATGATAAAAGTCTATCACTGGCTATATTCTACCTCCAGGAATCTTCTAAATGCCTCAGCTGGACAGTGAGCACTCAGAGTGCTGAATACAGTAGAAAAGGGATTAGGGGAGGTGAAAGACACAGTATAGTTACAATATATGTGTGTTTTCAGAATATAACTTGGTATGAACCCATGTGTTTGTAAATCCTCTTTACCTGGATTTCTGGGAGCAGGGTTCTTTTTTGAGGGGCAGGGGTTGCATTAAGCTGTGAAGCTTTTGTTATTTGGGATTAGTTGTGATGGGCCTCTGTGGCACTTGAAAGTGATTGTGTCTTCTATTTCAAATTGTAGCAATAAAGATTATGGAGTAATGTCTTACAGAAACGTATATTGACAAAACTGCTTATAACATCTCAGTTGAGCAGCCAGCTTCTAGCAGTCATTGCAACTGTAGAAAATATTTGAATAATTTTTTAACAAACAAAACAAAACACCCTTACCCCTCCCTATCAACTTTGATAGGCTCTTTTTGGAGTTGGAGAGATGATGAGGCAACACATTTGGTGTGGGATGTCATGGTTCCACTTCATTGCCTCAGTCATTTTCACCATAGTGCTGACATTGCTACAGTGGTGGCATGATTGGTGTGAGAAGATGGAGCTTCTTGCTGCCCTCTATCATAACCACAATGAGTTGTCGGGGTATATCAATCTCATCTTCATCCCTGTGACAGTGGGCTTGATGCCCTTCAGCGTGCGAGAGAGAGAAGAAAGACACCCACACACATATATACACACACCTCTGTTTGATGTCATGAACTTGAGCATGCCAAGCAGGTACTGACTGCAGGAATTCACAGGATGAATGGGTAGAACATTTATTAACATAACAAAAATAAAAGTTAATTTCTCTTTTAATTTAAAATAAACTTTTTGGGATTTTTTTTGGTTAAATTATGAAATACTTCTGTTAAATTTATTCTTTAGAGTCTTTTTTGGGGGGGGGGTGTATGCTGATATATCCAAAGAAGGACTACAGTTCTTATACTGTTAAGCTGTTGACATATGGAAATCATAATATGGTTACAGTGTGGGTTCAACATGTAAAGTAATTTGCAGTGGTTTAAATACAATTAGAGAACCCATTCTTTTATGTAGATGTAAAGACTAGTAAGTCTGTTGGCTTTCTTGAATTATAATTTGTGGGTTGTGCTTTTTATGTTATGATTACATCCTGTATAAACTGCTGGCTTAACTGGATTTTAAACAATGTATGTAAGCCAATGTCCTTACCAAGAAGACTTGGTAGTATTTAGTTGAAGATACCTGTGGACAAAGCTACAGGTAACTTGTAACTTGTGCATGTTTAGCTTATGCAGTTTTAACTTTACATAGCCAGTTGAAATCACACAGATTAAATGCACAGAAAGCATAGAGTTCAACAGCTCTTTGCCCAGGGTTTCCAGGCGCAGAAAGAGATTTTAAGCGCCCTGCCTTGCTTACCAGCATTGCTGTCAACGTTTCCCTTTTTAAAAGGGAAATTCCCTTATTCCGAATAGGATTCCTCGCAAGAAAAGGGAAAAGTTGACAGCTATGGCTTACCAGGCTATGGGAGGCTCTTAGGAGACCACAGATATCATCCTGCAAAATTTCGTCCCAGAGCACAATAAGCAAGGCCGAGCGCTTAAAAGTGGTTTGCTTGTTTGGGAGGTGAGACCTATTTGGCACATCAGCTCTGGAAGGTAAGATTGCTCACATGGGAGCTGTTCCAAGGGGATGGATTGACAATGCCTTTTTGCATATACACACCATCCCCATAATGTAACACCTGTTCAAGTTGTGAGTGACCTGTATTATATAATTATGCATATTAGTTTAAGATAACTCTGCCGTGTTTAACTACTACATCTCTCCCAGTTTTTAATTCTAGCTAAGACATAAGTACAGAGTAGGTAAAATTCTTATGGTAAAATTCAATTCAAAATGAATTTATTACCTCACCTTACACATGAAGTTAGATGTGATACATGGCTGACCCAGATGTAATGCTAAACCATAGAAATGTCTTATGAGAATGAGCCACAGGTGGGCCTTGTGATTGCTCCCTCCTCTGGGATCACTACAAAGAGAAGGTTAGAACCTTTAACTTCTGTTCCTGATTAACTCCCAGTAGCTGTGTATCAAACCCAGCAAACTGTAGTTTAAGAAGCTGGCTTGTTTCTACAAAACTGTAGTTGATACTAACCATAGTTTAGGGTTTGGACATAAGGCTGAACTGTGATTAGTTGGAAATGGAGGCTTCCAGTCTACTTACAGCTTTGCTGGTGGGGCCAGAGTGCAAGCCTGAGGTTACCCTATGCTCATCCTTGTAATGTTAAAGCAAGGTTTAGCATTGCTTGAGAACCATTCCATAGACTTATATACAGCAGTTACTCTTTGCAAACTAGAGTAAACTTAAGAGTAGATGACACCTTTCCTCTGATCACCACCTTCATCTTTCTTTCCTATTGCCCAGTCCAACATATATCAGCATTAAAATGTCAACTACTACTATTACTGTCAGTAAAATTCCTGTGTATAAAGTATCAAAGAAAGTCATATAAATTGAGTTTTAGAGATTATTGTAAGCTGCAGAGCCAATTTGTTTGCAGTATTTCACAGTGAGCCTATTTTATCCATTATACTGACGTAAGATAGTTACATATAGATGCTTATTTGTTACTTTTTTTACTGTTACTGCCAGACCACAACTGAGCGACCTTTTATACAGAAGTTGTTTCGTCCTGTCGCTGTAGATGGACAGTTTCATACACTGGGAGATCTCCTAAAAGAAGTTTGCCCTGCTGCAATTAATCCTGAAGGTATTAACTGAAAATATGATAACGCTTGTACTTTGTAGGCTCCAGGGAAAATTATCAGCTGCTATTTAAATTATTATCTGGATTGCTGTGTAGTAAAATCAATTACAGTCCTTTTTAAACATACTTTACTAGCAGAGTTAAAGTTGTCCCAGTCTTGAAATATAACTGAGATACAAAAGTTAATTGAAAGACAATTATACTGAAAATATTTTACAAAATGTAGATGTAGCAAACCATGCATTTTTGAATCTGCAATAGTGCACCATGTGTGAGAAAAAGAGTAGGGTTGCTTGAACTTAATCCTAGGCATGTTGGGCAGTACTGAGTATCTTGGCTAGACAACCCTTAACTGTTGTAGAGTTGGGTTAATTTAGAATTAAGTTTGAACATTTTGAAAATTAGGACAATAGGTTAGCACCATCAGTGGTTACTAAAATGATGCAGCCTAAGATTTGCATGCTAAGTATATCTAGTGTCTGGTTTTAAAGAAAGGTGCATCAGAAAACCTATTTTTCAAGAATATACTTACTGTGATAAATCTGCCCACTACTAGTGACAGTGGCAGACCTCAGTAATACTCTCTCTTTGGACCTATCATTTATCAGTTGGGCAATTTCTTGGATCAGATAATAGATATCTGCAGTGTCATACAGTGTGAAGCACTTCTAGATGGTGATGTTGGCTTCATTTCCACCTACCCACTCTTCATGTTGTCAGAATAGGGTATGGGTATGATGCCATCATTTCAGTCTGAAATGTATTCTGTAGCAATGTTACTGTGTACGTATTGCCACTATTTCTCTCTATCAGAATATTCCCTGTGCCTTGGGCTCACAACTTAAATCATTTTATTCTGCCTAAATTCATTAAATATTTAAGTAGGCCAGGCATACATTGTAGGTGCTATGATTTTTTTTCATTTCTCACAGATAGAAGCCCGGAAGAAGTTTAAAGTATTAAGCTTTGTATTTTTCTTATAAACAGCACTCCCCTTCTGTTTGTGATCATGGGATAAAAGCTCTCTAAGCTTGTATATGTACTTTTTTACTGCTACATCATGTAGTGTGCTCTTAAGATTGAGATCTCATTCCCCAGGAAGCATTTTCTGCCTAAGATTAATTGCCCTTTTAAAGTCAGTGTTTGATGGATTCCTTTTGGCTGGCTATATCCTGACTCAGTTTAACCCTCTTTGACCTGACCCCACCGACTATTACCACAGTGTCTGAGGCAGAAATCCTTCAGCATGATGTATGCAGTGCAAACCCCAGGCATGTGGTTCTTCACAGCTTGGATTCAATTAGCTGGATTTTTACTGATACATAGAAGTAAAAAGTGTGCTGTTAGAGCTATTCATGTTTTCATAATTTTGGGGGGACGGGGGCTAGGAGGGGGAACAGCAACAATCCCCCTTTCTGTTAGTGGATGGCTCTGCTGGATCCAAGGCCCTTCCATGATCACAAAGGAGCCAGTTGGATTGTACCCTATATTTACACACATCCAACCATTCCAACTAGTGGACTCTGCCCACTAGGATTTCCACCTTTGTTTCTGTCTTAAGATGTTCCACTCAGGCCTGTTCTAATTGCTTTTGTTAGCGGAGGTATGTAATGTAAAGAATAGGGCTTTCTCGGTTGTGGTGCCCCAGCTTTTGAAAGCCCTCACTAAAGCGGTATACCCAGTGTCTTTTCAGCGCTAGGTTAAGACATTTTTATTTACCAACGTATTTTAATTTGAATTATTGCTCATTCTTCTAATTATCTCACAGTGTGCTTTGTAATTTTTAATTCTTTTATTTGTTATTTGTTCTGTATTATTATAAGTTTGTTTGTTTGTTTATACCCCACCTTTTTCCCTGTCAGGGACTCAAGGTGGCCTACCAGTTAAATAGAAACAGCTAAAAACATAGGAGTTGCATTATTTAAGAACAATTAAACAGTCATAAAATTAAAACTATATATAAATATTTAAAATATATTAAAAATATACAGAGTATTACAATAAAAAGAGCATGGCACCAGCCCTTTCATTAAAAGCAGTCAGTTCCCAAAAGTGCTGGAATAAGAAGGTATTCGGTTGCCAGCAGAAGGACAACAAGGAGGGAGCCAGTTCTAACTTAAGGACGGAGTTCCAAAGTTTGGGAGCAGCTACCAAGAAGTGCATTGTACTAGGTTTTAATTATTTTATTATCAACCTGGAATCTTTTAAAATGAAGGCCTATATAGAAATGTTTAAAATAACCCCCTCCCACTGTTCCTTGTGAATTATTATTATTTAATTGTGATCAATGTGCACTTATTTTGTAGTTCCACTCAAACCTAAGTAAACATTCATTTCACTGTATGTACTTTGAGTAACACTTAGTTGAATACATGCAGTAGGTTGTATCCAATGGTTCCTGTGCATGAATGGAGAGACCCTTGTTTGCACAGTGGGGCTTCCTTTCCCCTCTGCTGTGTAGCCCACACCCCAGCAGATTTTGGAGGTGGAGTGTGAAGGCAGCAAGGTGAGGAGAAGAAAAGTCCTGGTGAGAGAGCAGAAGCTTGCTCATATGACATGATTTCATTCAATTTACACGGTGGGAAGAATAGTAAATCTATTTCATAGCCTTATTAAAATCATAACCGTTGCAAAAAAAAGAAAAAAAAGAAAAGACAATGGTGCATGAATCATTTTATGATTCATATAACAGAATATTTCATTTTTAAGAATTAACTTTTCATTTATCATGAGGGATCATTCAGTTAAATATGACGTAGCAAGATTATAATCAAAACTACAAATCACGGATTCTGCAGAATTTTACTATGTAATGAAACCAAATGCACTTTGCTTCAACCATGTGTTTGCCTGTGAGTGTCTGATAAGTGATCTGTCTGTTTCAAAATTAGATGGTGAAAAGAAGAACCAAGTGGTGATTCATGGCATAGAACCAATGTTGGAAACGCCAGTACAGTGGCTAAGTGAACATATGAGTTATCCTGATAATTTTCTTCACATCAGTGTTATCCCACAACCTGCAGATTGAAGTGTCAACTGGTATGCATGAGGATCAGCCTTTGATTGGAGCAACAAAGTCAACTTCAAGTTGTGTCAGGCTTGATGAGGGTGACATGACCAAAAACTTTTGCTGCTGCAAGCCAAACAGGAAGAAAGATCCATCATGTGATAAGAGGAATTGGACAGGCTATATTTTGCATCACCCGTGTTTTCTCCACTGGTGTCATTTAACTTCAGCTGTGACATGAGAAACTTTATAAGGCTGCTGTAAGACTTCTGTTTTCTTGTTAAAAATTGAAGCTGAAAGCATGGGGAATAAGTGGAAATAAGTGCCACTTTGTATTTCTTAATAATAAATAAACAGGGGTATTTTCTAATGTTGCAATGGCTTGTCTTTACAGTGAAAACACTGTTTTATTCTAGAGAAGTAGACAAACAGTTGTATAAATAATCACTTGCAGGAACCCATTATGAAAAGATGAAACTAAGCTAAACTCCTTACTTTGGAGTAATGTCTCTTAAATTTTATACTAGGAAATTGATTTTTTTAAATAGTCATCACAGTATGTTTTGTATTTCACAAATTATATTCTGATCATATTACTTGAAATGAAGTCTTGGTGACTGCAGTATATGACTAAGTTTCAAGTAATATATGATTGGACTCTGTTGCATAATTTATATGGAGATGGCCACTGAATATACTGAAATGTATGCCTTATTCAAGCAAGTCCTAAGTCAGAAAATAGTATAAGAAAGCTTTATTAGAATATATTCTTAAAAAGACAAACAAATATATTGACTCTTGTGAACAGCAGCATGCTCCATGTGATGATCTCCCTCATGCCAGATTATCTGCACAGATTGGAGGATTTAGGGGGATGGATCTTAAAATTTGTCTCAAGCTCCCAAAGAATGATTGAAGCAAAACCTCAACTGCTGGAAGCAGTGTTGTGCCACTTCCTAGCACTACTTTTCTGCTTTGTGGCAGCTCCAGCAAAGTAGTTCTGTGAAATTGTCATAAAACAAGAGAAAATGATACTGTGATACTAGACTTGCCCTACATAAGTTAAGAGTTGATAATGCAGAGTTGGCTCTAGAGGATGAAAGGATCTGGCATTTTTTTGCCAAGACAGGGCTGCTGTCTAATTCTTAAGGTTGAAGGCACTATAAGAAAAGTTTTGCTCCGGGAATCCTGCCCTCTTGCTGGCTAAGGAAGGTTTATTCACCAAGGATTCCAGCTGGAGCCCATGCAGGGGGGAAATGGAAAGGCCTTGGAAGGAAAAATAGAATTTAATAAAGCCTAAAAGAAAGAAATACAAAGAAAAATGGGTAGATGAACTGATGTATTTTACAAGAAGGAAAATGAAGACTACAAAGGAGGATTCTACTTAACACTAATCTAACAGGAAACAATCTAACAGGAAATATGGGGTTATTTTACAACTAAATCATTTTTAAAAGTATGCCAGTAAAGCATCTTTACAAAATGCTGAAAAGACTGGAGTTTCCTTCACACTGTTTTGCCTTGCACTTGTCCCAGCATCCTTAAGAAAGATGCGATACTCTTATGTAGAGAGGAAGAAATTTTTGGTGTAAAGCAAGGCTGTGAAACCTGTGGCCTTCCATATAGTAATGGGTCTCAGTTTCCATCAGCCCCAGCTAGCATGGCCCATGGTCAGGTATAATGGGAGTTAGTCCAACAACACTCAAAGGGCCACAGGTTCCTCAACTCTGTCAATAGTGGTCTAATGTCTTTAATCTCCTTTAGTAAAATAAGCAACAATCAGTGAAAGCTAGTTTGGTCTTACTCTGCTGAGAGAAGGATTTGCTGACGGGAATGGGGAAGGAGACAGTTCGTGGCAGTGCCTCCTCCCATGTCTGTCCTGGTGAACCCCTAAGCCTTCAGGACAAATTTGGTGATGACACGGAACTGCAAAGCTGAGAATCAATAATAAAGGCCTCTCTCCCTGTTCTACTAGTGGATGCCTTTTGTCAGCAAAGTGACCCCAACTGGATTCCACTCAATAAGTTGCATTTTTGGCAATGCCAATTTTATACTAAGCTCTTACATAACTGTTTTGCCCTACTCTGGACCAGCCTTCTAAACATGTCTTTTTCCCTAAGGCCTTTAAGCTGAAACTTGAGTGTACAAAGCTTTCAATGAAATAATGACAACTAAACTTTCCCTTTTTTGTACCAATGTTACTTCTTTTTTAACCCTTTCAATGGCAAATATTAAGAATTAGTATTTTGTCAAATAAAATTTCAGTTCAACAGTTCTGCAAAAATGACTTCATAATTGATGAAATGGAGTGGAATGGAAATATGCAGCCTGTTGAATACTATTCAAATGTTTATAGGCTGGTTTACGGATTGCCTTCCTCGTTTATAATAATTAACATTTAAGATAATTGAAGGAAATAGTTGCTGGGCATAAAACAACTGTTTTGATGTGGATTGCTTTGATGAGTAGGGTGGGCTCCCTGCTTCAGAAAATTATTCTTCAGCATATGCAGGGCATCTAAAACAGCGGAGGGGGTATGTGGAGCTTGTGTACTTATGGCTGTAACCTCCCTTGTGCATTTACTTTGCACAGATTTTGAATGCCTGAAGAAGCTTTGTGTCTATTAGGTAGATACTCCTGGAAACCAAACTTGTCTGTATAAGCTAGCACCAGAAAGGCATTTCTAGTCCTTAATTCATACACCACACCAAACCATTGTTTTTACTAATCATAGTTCAGGTGTTAAACAATGATTTGAGCGTTAAACACACAGCATGGTTATAAGCTGTTCATTTGCTCTTCATTTTCTATTTGCTTAGCATTATTTTCATTCCACAGAATCTTCTGGAGTTGCAGTAATTGATGAGACTTGGTTTGTGAATTCAGGCATCACACCAAACTACAGCTAGCCCCAAAGAACTGTACTTAAAACATGGTTTTTGATTTATGGTTTGCTTGCCAATTTCAAATGCTAATTTGTCCATTGAGAAATGTAGCTCAGCTTCCTCAGCCGTGATGGGATGTGATGCCTGAATTTAATCAAGCTTGCCTTTGTGTACTATAGTCTGAGTCTAAATATTCTAATAAAGCAGGAATGCAAAAAAAGAAAAAAAGCAGTAGCTCACTTTTTCTGGCTATATCGTATTGCCAGCTATTCACTAAATTAGAAGAAAGAAATAGGATGTTACACCCCTTCTGCTTCGGTGTCATACCAAGGGCAATTTATTTGTTCCCTGTAGCCATTCAGGGAAGATTCTTCCATATAGTCTTGTTTGCATCTTTATGTGTCTACTGTAAGCTTGAGATGGCGTATATTTAGTTGGCCTGTTCCAAGCTGCATCTGCTTATCGCACCTGATGGCGCAACCAATGGATGGTTGGTGGCTGAATTCACTTGTGCACAATCTCATGATTTAAGAATGCTTTGGAGGATAACATCTGTTTTAATGAGATAAAAAGTGTGTGTCTCCTTCCATCATTTGCCTTAAAGTGTTTTGAACTAGTGAAATTTGACTCTTTTAGGTTGGCATTTTGCTTAGCAAAAAATGCAACTGCCTATTCATCAGAACATAAATGGAACTTTATCCCAAAACCTGAGTCCTTCTAGAGCATAGTTCTTGGAGTCCTCAGCATGATACTTTAAACCAGAGTAGCCATAACTGATGTCACTTAATACAGTAGCTCAAGACAAAAATCAAGTAGGCCAATGTTGTGGTTCAATTACAGCATCCAGGTCTCTAGTGGTCACTTTCACCCTACACTATACAACAGCAAAACGAAATTTAACTCGCATATACTCGTGATCACATCTCAAATTCCTGATATATTACACACACGCGTATACACACACACCCCTGATTTTTGGAGTAAGTATAAATACATGTAAAGAGCAGGGTTTTCAAGATCACTGTTATTTTAATTATGTGCATTAGATTAGAATAGCAGTTCTAGTCTAATCTAGCATGCATTTCACCTCTAACATACATGGGATGCACTGGTAAAGTGGCTAATAAGGAAAAGTTACTTGGATCACAGTCACATCCCCACAGGTCCACATGCACAGCCTCCTAACGCAGTTCTTGAGCAGCAGCCCGACTTTTGCTGCCTGCTAAAAATTCTTGTGGAACTCGGAAAAATTGACAAAACCGTTTTGTGACATGCCGTGCAGCTGTAGGCAGGGCTTCCTGTTTAAAATGGACTTGGAGAAAAATCCTACTAAATGTAAACAAGTCCAGGAGATATCCTAAAGTATTTTTGTTCTGTGAACCGCCCTGAGACCTCCGGGTATAAGGCAGTATATAAATTCAATAAATAATAATAGTAAAGTAGTGCATAGGATCGTAGTGACAGAGTATAAAAACCGGGTGGTTTTGAATATGTTTTCTCTTCAAATGTATGGCGACTTTTGTATTAAGTTTGACCAATACTCTTTTCATTGTAAGCCTTCTGACAGGGCCTTGTTTAAAATAAATAAATAAATGCTGTCTTGCTGTGTCCTAACGCAACAAAAATAAGGCCCTATAAATAATATGGTCTGGAAATGGAAAATTAATAATTACTTTTATCTTCTTGTTGTGCAATTAATGAAAGACTGCTATTGATAATGATAAAGCAAAGCAGCGAGAGTCATTGTACAAACAGGAAAATGTAAATACCATTCTGCTGCCGTTGTAATAAACAGTACTTCCCCTAGGCCTCAAGGTGAATGTTCCTCTGTATTTACAATGAATGGAATACTATGTTTCTTCCAAGCATGTTTACTTCTGTGAACTGATTGAAATGTCAGACAGGTTTGTTCACTAGATGGAAATACTGAAATAGTTTCTCAGAAAGTAATTCTGAGATAATTGATTTGCATGAATTTATTTTATGGATTCCTTAAGATCTTTTGCAAGTAATTGTAATGAGAAAGTTGTGTTGGAGCTACACATTATTTGAGCTAAGGGGTTCAGAGCAAGACTTTGAAAAGCATACTGTTATCCCTAGGACAATACAGTGGTACCCCGCAAGACGAACGCCTCGCAAGACGGAAAACCCGCTAGACGAAAGGGTTTTCCGTTTTGGAGGCGCTTCGCAAAACGAATTTCCCTATGGGCTTGCTTCGCAAGACGACAGCCCATAGGGAAATCTCCGGGACAGCGGGGAAGCGCAGCGCGTCTTCCCCACTGTCCTCGGACCTCCTCCCGCCGCCGGACATCGGAACGAAGCTCCGATGTCCGGCGGGGGGGGGGACGTCTCCTCCCTCCAACGGACATCGGAACGAAGCTCCGATGTCCGGCGGGGGGGGAACGTCTCCTCCCTCCAACGGACATCGGAACGAAGCTCCGATGTCCGGCGGGGGGGGGAACGTCTCCTCCCTCCAACGGACATCGGAACGAAGCTCCGATGTCCGGCGGGGGGGGGGAACGTCTCCTCCCTCCAACGGACATCGGAACGAAGCTCCGATGTCCGGCGGGGGGGGGGAACGTCTCCTCCCTCCAACGGACATCGGAACGAAGCTCCAATGCCGGGCGGGGGGGGAACGCCTCCTCCCGCAGCCCGGCATCGGATGGCTGTCCTGAAGACTTGGGGTGGGAGGAGGGTTTTCCTTCCCACCGCCAACATTCAGAATGCTGTTCTGAATGTTGGCGGTGGGGAGGAAAAACCCTCCTCCCACGCAAGCCCTGGGAACAGAGGGAAAGCGCTGCGCGCCTTCCCCTCTGTTCCCGTACCTGTCCTGAAGGCTTGCGGTGCGGAGAAAAGCCCTTCTCCGCACCGCCAGCCTGGCAAGCGGTTTCCCTAGGAACGCATTAATTGATTTTCAATGCATTCCTATGGGAAACCGTGCTTCGCAAGACGAAAAACTCGCAAGAAGAAAGAACTTGCGGAACGAATTAATTTCGTCTTGCGAGGCACCACTGTAGTCCTAATCTGGCTGTGCATAAAATGTTGCATTTTAGCACAGAAGAATAGGAATGTTAGAATAAACACCCTGCTTCAGCTGTGTAGTCAGAGGCACTCTTGATTTGTGCCTGCCATTCCTGATGGGGCACGGAAGCAAGCTTGCCTATCTCCTTAACTAAATTAAGGCCAGACACAATTTTCTAGTTATACAGAGTTCCCCTGCTCAGATAACTCTGTGGCTTTTCTTTTTTTAAAAAAGAAAACCATCCCGAAACACAGTAGTGATTGAAGAATGTAAATGAGAATATAATAACCAAATAGCAAGTCATGTCTGCATCAGCTGAGTTTAAGGAAATTGCCCTAATGCCAAAAGGTGACTTTGCATGTTGTTTCCCTTTCCCAATATTCTCCGGCATCAGGTACAGTATATCACTTTTCTACTGATGAAATAATTTCCATTTGATTGTTGAAGAAAAAGAGGAAAATACAATGTCTCATTAAAGGCTGGCAATTTGTTTTAATCATTTGCCAGCACAGCTGAAAATAATTACTAATAAATAGGAACAACTGACTCTTAACTTCCCACGCTCTCCAAAATAGTTTGGTTTTCTATTTCTGAGAGCTTGCATCTGGATTTCGGTATCATTTAGATAATGCGCACACAGGGTTTGCAAAGGATGGTGGCACTAAAGTCTGCTTTAAACATGCGCAGATTCCTGTATCCCCATTGAAGAACATAAATTTGCTCTGCTTCATTTTGAATTCCCTTTCATTTTCTGTCTCCCTTTGAAACAAAAAGTGCCATGCCAGCTCATGTCCTAACTCAAAAGCAGTTGGCCTGTCAGAAGCACGCAGCGAGTGTTTTTGTGAAGAAAGGAATTCCCTTTTCTGCATTTTGTCTCTGGCGTTTAATGTTATGACTAGACAGTATGAGGCAACTTTTCACAACTCGTAAATAGAGCAGATTTCAGAAACCATTTTAAGAGGGCGTTTTAATTCAAAGCCCTGTAACTCCACGTTCCCAGATTATCGGACCAAATTCCGATAAGGCTGAGGTTGCTAGTGGTGGGATTTGTTTTCAGTTGGGGAAACTGAGGGCTACCCCCTGCTGAGTAGGCAAATGGCTGTGGCTGGCATGTGGTTTTTCTTACATAAAAGGGGAGGGTAACTAATGTATGAGCATCAAGGCATGGAACCCGTCTCACAAGCATGATGATTCCAGGAAGACTCATGCTGGAGACATAACTCTTACTACACTGTTTGTCATATGAAGACAGTCTAGGACATCCTCTTGGGGAAGTAAAGTAACGATTGCAACTATAACTGGAAAAATGTAAAGAAGTAATGGCTTCTCTTTTTGCATAGGCTGTTAATGGACTTAATTTATTCTTGGTAATTATCCTTTTTCTTTAACATTGCTGACAATTTAATCAAGCCTAGTTGTTCCCAGGTTTTTCTAATGATACCCTCTTTTGCTGGTTGACGGCTACTTTTCTATCCTTTGACATATAACAGGCTTGTGGTGGTCATAAAGGTTCTATTTTATATTAATTGACACCCTGAAGCATCTTAAGGCTTTCCCTCAGGAAACTATATGTCTAGGCATGCTTGCTTTTCAGGCCTCCTACTTCAGTGCAAACCCTGTGGAAGAGGATATCAGGAAGAGACTGGTGGCCAGAGGGTGGGGTGGAGTCTTCACAATAATCAGTGTTTAATCATATTTCAGAAGAACTGAAAAGAGGAGGAAAAGGAAAGCATAATAACCATGGAAGAAAAAAAGGTACAATAGAAGAACATGTGATTCATCAATTTCGTACAATAGAAAGTTGCCTGTGTAAATTTAATGTTGGCAGCCAAGGATGTAGTGTTGTTACTCACCGGGGTGAATGAGTTTGATTTTCAAGTCATGCCACTTCAAGCAAGGGCTCCCTTTTAGCTCATGTCTTTTATGTTAGAGGAAATGACTCTTAACATCAAGGGCTATGGAAAGTCATTCTTAATTTTCATCTACGGTTCTAAAAAAGATCATAGTAATTATAAATCACTGGGAAGGGTTTGCTCAGCTATGATTCTTTATCACTTTTCTTTCTATCACCTGGTGCCACCCAGTATGAAAAGGGATGGAACTAAGAATTCCAAGTGAATCTGGAGGAAACGTATGTTTCACTTGTTAGAAACATGTGGAAAAGTACTGAAAGCTTTTATCAGAGAGTCGGATCCCTTAAATTTGGTCCCCCATTTTCCAAGACTGGTTCAAACATGCATGTATAACACTTGGATTCTCTGTTCTGCAGGCGGGTTCACATACATGTGCTGAAGATATGATAAGTGCAACTTGGAGCTCCTTATGCAAATAGACCTCCATAGATACAACACTGGGCACAGCTTTCACATCCCTCACTCTGCTTTCAAAGCTATGCTTTCAATTGAACAGTCAGTTCACATGTTCAGCTGCCAGTAGTAATGGGTTGTATCCAGACATACCCTTCTAAGAAGCACTTCTTCCATTTTCCTGCTGGAGGAAGGGGATGGGTGGAGGATTTGAGTCAATTGCCTCCCCTGTTGCTATCCCCCACACCACCTCCCGCCCTGTTCCAGTGGGTCACACAACGCTCCAGATCAGCTTTTCATGGAGTCTTTAGGTAGAGGAGGAAGTGGCAGAAATTGCTACTCCTCTCTTCTGCCTATGGAAGCATCTCATGGGGGAAACTTTGCTCTCAAACCCTATTCAAGTGTGTTTGAGGCCACTTCTGTCACCTCCAACCTTGCCACATTCAATGATGTGGTCTGATGGGAGTCTTACAAGCCTGTGATCAGGAAGTGTAAAACGTACCTTAGGCTGCAGTTTCTGGGGAGTAAGCATCCTTAATGCAACAGGACTTACATCTGAATAGACATGCATAGGATCACATTGTAAGCCTGCAACCCTAAAGACATTTTTTTGGGGGTAAACCCCATGGAAACCACTGGGTTGTAATCAGGGCTTTTTTTCAGCTGGAACTCACACGAACTCACTTCCAGCACCTCCCAGGTGGGCGTCATTGCCATTCTAAGAGAATGAAGGAGGTGTTCATGGTGAGTTCCGGCAGCTCCATTTCTTGAAAAATAGCACCAGTTGTACTTCTGAATGAACATGCATAAATCAAGTGATGTGCATGTGCATGCCATGTGAATGAGGCCTGTCTATTCCAATTTCTTTCCTGCAGTTTGTCTTCATATTCTGTATGAAAAAGTGGGCTATATTGTTTCTGGTTCGTTTCTGTGGGCTGTTTGAAGGGTGTGTCTTTTCTGGGTCATTTTGTAACTAACAAAAAAAAAATATGAGTACCTTAGAAAAGGTACTCAGTGAAGTAATTCTTCTTCCTCCTAAAGGCAGAATAAAATGCTTAAGCAACCTTAGTATTAGACATTATGTGTAGTTCCACCTACACTGACATGAAAGCTTTGTAAACACCTAACCCTAAATGGCAGGCAGCAACTCTGAATGAAGCACTTAGATCTTGTGCAACTTTCTGGGGTCCCCCCGCCCGCTCCCAAAAGAACAACGCACCATTAAGGGTGTGCTTCTGTGCCTTTGGGTAGAGTGGTTTCCCAAGCTTGAGAAGTGTATGTTCTATGCAAATTAGATCACCCATAGGGAGTTAAATGCTCCATGGTGGTTTATAGCACAACACTTTTATTTGTTTAATTTTGAAATTATATATATGGACATAAGAAGAACCTTCTGGAGCAGGCCAGTAGCCCATTTAGTCCAGCATCCTGTTCTCACAGTGGTCAAGCGGATGGAATTACTGTGAATTTGATTAAAG